AGGATATCCTGCATTGTAATCGTTGTGAGATTAAAAATTATTTTATTACTTTGTCTATAATATTTATAGCAAGTATCCTTGGCACATTCCCCTTTGACATTATTTATTAGGCCACCCATGTCACCGCCAATGTACGTAATTATTTTTTAAAGGGTATTTTCTTTTCTCGACATGCATTCCATGCACCACCCAACTCTTTCTGGACGAAAAGGGTCTAGTCCTCTGGACATCAACTGGTTCATCGCTGAACCCATCAATGAACCGTATAAACCAAAAATATCCCTTTCACTTCATGAGGGGAGGGAGTGTGTGAATCGTGAAATTACGCTCGTGACGCAGGACACCCTCTGTTATCTTTGATCGACATTGCTTTAAAACAACCATCGTCTCACCAATATTGTTCTCTCGACAACTCTTAAAGAAACCCCTGTGCTTTAAAATTGGGTATATCTTGGTACGATCGACCTCAAATTTTATGATAGGTCAAACGAAGGGGGGCCTGTTCGTGTTTCTTTGTCATCACCAAGAGGTTCGAAAAAAGAGAAAAAAGATTAGACCGCGCGAACCAAGGAGGAAGGAGGAAAAAAATCAAAGGATGATCTTTTCGGGGGTTACGGTCTTAACCCCCACATTTGATCTCAGAGAGAGAGAGAGGAATGTTTGTCGGTAAGCAAGTGGTGTGCGTGCACGCTCTACGTTATATCACGCTGTGCATGCGACCGGTGGATTGACGTCGAGCATCCCGAATATGTTGATAATTCTAATTAATGAGATCGTACGGCTGACGGGTGGGCAGACAGGAATTAATTAAAGATGTTGAAGGAAACTCACGCTATGGCCACGCGCGAATGAATGCGAGTGAGTGAGACCAATTTCTGATGTGGCTGTCTGTCAACGATTATAATAAATCACAAATCACATTTACATAATATAAATGATAATTTTTTTTCTCCGTGTTTTTATTTTTCTTTATGTTTTAAGGGGAGGCGACATTGGTCGTTCAATGGGGAATGGTGCGAGGATTCGGACAGAGAAATTAAGGTTTTCTCATCATTCATGTACAAGAATGTATAAGAAAGAAATGTAAGATGCTTCTCGATAATAAATCATACATCTGGCTCACGCTGATTTGTTGTATTATAATAATCGGGGATCATTCCAATTCCTCGGTTCATTCGTCGTCGTAAAATTAAAATTTCTAATCATGCAGGAATTTCTCTTTTTCTCTGTTGTCAAAAAGTGGCATGATGAAACACGGGAATCAAGGGAAGAAGGAAAAGAGGAATAATAGTTCATACCTTACACAAACAATAATGACACATTTCTTTTAGAAAGTTGGAGGAGGGAACAAGAAATTTTAAATTTACTATAAATGCCAAAGTTTCAAAGTCCGGTGACTTTTTGGCATTGATCCAAGGCCCGCGTAAATGTGGTACCAGCTCCCGAATAGGAGCACAGAAAAGAAGGCCATGTTATTTTTAACAACGGTCCTCGGTCATTGGTCAAACACTATATGATTGAGTGACACGAGTCAAATAAAGCGATCATGAACATTTTGAGGTCACAGTGTCATATGCTTTTTCGAAGAGATGGTGAGAGAAAAAAACCTGTTTACCCTAACATTTTTCTTTGTGGACGGATCAAGAAACAAGATTCGAGCGGAAACTGTACGATATAACAAGGATTAAACTCTGAAACGGAACGTAGAAATGCGGAGCCTTTTTCTTTTTCGATAAACATACTCGGCATGTAAGGCGTGAAGACGGACGGCTCAAAACATCCCAATAGAATTGAATAGGTGAACATTCTATTCGTCAATCTGACCGCTAGTGCGTCTACATCAATTACTGTATATCCAAAAGAAACTTGCTGGTGATCCGGTTGTAAATTACTGCAAGGCAACTGATCACATTTCACACAGCCTGCAGAACACCTTTTC